ATTGAAAGATAAAAAAAATTAAAAGATTTGTAGAGAAAGTTTTTTTTCACACTGAATTGTCTCCGGACAAGGCTCACAAGGCATGCGTGACAGGTATGCTTACTTCTCCATGTCACCTGATCCTACTTCTGATATTGTAGATGTCCGAGTTTTCTCTTAGTTTGTATTGTTTTGATCGACTTGTGGGACTGATAACTGTTTTATTGAGTGCATTTATTTAGGGAAAAAAAATCATAGCATTTAAATTGAGAGAAAAGGATGCATTATCATCAACAATTTATTCAAGAATGAATTTTTAAAAATCAGGTAAATTATATTCAAAATTCCTTATCATAAATGTACAGATATATATGAAAATTAAAATTTGCAGAAACTTTCGACGTGGTAAGATCTTTGTTATCTGATGATGTCCATGTATTGAGAGACAGAAAATATGTAATTCAAACAAAATATCCAATTTTAACCATTACTTAATTTTTGTTCTTTAAGTCACAAGGAGTAGTTTATATAATTTATATTCTACACCTCTGTTCTGGATACTACTTCAGGTAAAATCATTTATTGACAATAAATAATAAAATATTTTTTTAAAGAAAAAAGTATACAATTTCATATAAAGCCATTTAAAAAAATCCATAAAGTTTATGTATGTACAAAATCAACGAGAAATTATTCAATCTTCTCCTTCCATGTGTACTTTTTAATATAATTGCTCCTGATGTCGAAATTGTATGAAAGGATAAATGTTATGTAATTCAGTTCTGAAGACTAAAGGTAAATGTTTCAAAAACAAGCTTACATGCTTGTGTATATCTCAAATGATTCTGAACATTTATTCTTTTTCTATGGAATAGTTCTTAGATACGTTGCCTCACAAGAAAAGTGTCATCGAACAAAGCTTTCACTATCTAAATCTCTAAATCTAGTCTACATGTATGCCTTTGTCAGTAAATCATTAGACTTTGGATTTTCATTTGTTCCCTTTCTTGGAAGTAAATAGGTTTAATGCGTATTCCTAGATTCATCAGCATGCTTTTAAACTCCTCATAAATTTTAAGTAGTGTAGTTAAACAGTTTTTAAAAAGTAAATTCAACTCTGTTTTGCGATTATGTTCCTAAGCGTTTGGGACTCTAGAAAAATCTTCTGATTTTGTCGTTTCTTCGATAACATGTGTTGCCTGCAATTGTGATAAAAACATAAAACATTAATTATAATTAATAAATCCATGACCAAAAAAGAAAAAAAAACCAAGACGATAAATCTTTTAAAATAAAAAAAAATCATTGCAAAGATCCCCAAAAGAGTCCTAGTTACCCATTTGTAAAATGTACCGAGACCCACACTGGATGCTCGTATCGTCTCTTCATCGTAAAGTCGAAGTATTTGAGAGGAGTGATTAACCATTTCTTTGGTCACGTGGGTAATGTTGAACTGACGCACGCGCCTCAACAGACCTTCTTTTCCAGTCCTTCGCATCAATGCCTGTACCTGTTCCCAGTTCTATAAGACAATATTACATTTTAAAAACCTTTAAAAACATACCTCTATCAATATTTTATGCAGAAAGCAAAAGAAGTATATTTTGTTTATTGCTCCGACCTCGACCCGCGTTTCCTCTTCCCCTAGAAGAATATATGTAGCTCTCATGACGTCATAAGCCATATGATTTGGGTGTTTATAGGTTTGGATTTCAGCGACTGTCGTTTGTTGCATTTGAAGTATATCGTGAGTAAATCCCCTTAGCCTTTGCAACTGTAATAACAACTCTTCTGCTGTTTCAATAAAATTCTCAAGATTGGACTTGTACGAGGACGATTTTGCATTTTGTATTGCTTCCTTTAGTTTCTCACCATGTCTTCTTGCAATTGCATCTTTCAGTTCTGAAGATATGAAAAGTAACGGTTTACATAAACATTTTGGCTTTTAGATTTTAAAAAAAAAGAATTGTTGACTTTTTTGTTTAAAACACTATCCTTAGTAATTTTTTTTTATCAATTTGTACGTCTGATCATAGTAATGCAATTAAGAAAAGGAGAAGGTACGGATTTAGCTTTATTGCCCCCTAAAAATTTAATGTTTTCAAAAAGTTTTGAAACTGGCTTAAATATTAGTTGAGGTTATGACTATGATAGATCAAGAAAGAATATGGCATGAAGGATTTCCATTCCGGAAATTTGAAGTCATTAATGTGATGCATTTCTCTATTTATTCAGAAAAAGCCTCAAAATGACCCATTTCAAGGGGTTATTTTTCCTTTAGAAAATATTGTCCACAGCTGTTGCGCACTTTAATTTTTGGATATTTTGTGCAATATTCAATGAAAAATCACATATCTCAAAATCTTTGTGGATGATGCATGTGGACAATATTATCTGAAAGAAAATTCTTCTCCAACTTTTTAAGAAAATACTGGAAAATACACATGTTTAGGACGTCACAATTAATTAGCATTTAGAAACATGTCAGACAATGGTTTTTATGAATTTTCAGCATGACATTTCAATGATTAAGAAAGCATTACTTTTTATTTTTTATATCAGTTTTTTTTTTAAAGAAAATCACAGGGCAATATTTCCATGGAAACTATACCTTGTGCTTTATCAAAGCAATGTATTTGGCAATCTAATAAAAATTACGTCAGAGGTCAAATTCTATTAACCAATCAAATCGTCGCCTGCAAAATCATCGGATATTTGTTGAAGCAAATAAGTCTAGAGCTGTTTCGAATTTGACCTCTGACGTGACCCTCTAAGGAATGGTGTTATATGTTAGTGTAGCTAGTGTGCGAGCGGATCTAACATCTAATTTTAATTAGATTGTGTATTTGGTACCTTTTAGTAGGGTAAGGTACGTCAACCTTTCTTCTGCCTGTTGACGATCCCCTTTGTCGTCTAGATCTACCTTATCAAAGTCATCCAGGGCTTTTTGAAGAGCTTCTACGTCATTGGAGCAAGTTTGGTCCTGTAAGGCCTTCCTGATTCTTTTTTCTATCGGATTCTAGAAAATATAAGACCAGAAAAATCAAAACTAATTTATCAAGTATCTTTCCATAATTATCACAGGTCCACATACCTCGTAGGGCTTCCGCTTTTTGTTAATGTTTTCTGAGGTCAAAAGGTAGTTGCAGGCATTCTTGAATGAGCCATCTGAATCTTTGTCCTTTGCGTTGATCTGAAGCGCATATTCTCCTTTTTGAGGCAAATTTACGTTGATATCAAGCTCCTGACCTTTAATCTTATTGGTCACGTGTTTATTCAACGTCTCCTGTTCGATATCATTGTGTATCAAGTTTGTTTGGACAAACACTGTCTTTTTAATATTGAATATCACAGTGACATTCGTCGTCTTTCTGATATTAATGAAGCCACACTTGTGTGACTGCGGACGGAGCCCGGCTTTTTTCGTTAGTGAGTTTGGACCAAATCCACACTCTGGATTATAAGGAAATGGTTTTATATAGTTAATATTCTCGTTACACTCAAGTTTGAATTGGCATAAAGGGAAATGGTCACCAAAGATCTCCATCTTATATATGCCTTCACAGGGAAACCGAACAAAAAATTTAACGGAGGACCCTTCATTGAACATGGCTACGTACCTCTCTAGCTGTATTTCAGAAGACATAGTTGTCTTCGATTCCTCGTGGTTGAAATACAGCTTATATGTGTAAGAACTTTCTTCTTTATCTAACTTCTTTATCCCAATATCGCATACTCCGCCTGCAGATGTATAAAGACATTTATTCGGTGTTGTGATTTTGTAGTGATTCTCAAAATAGTCTTGACTACAATATGCGATATCTATGAAGTCCTGTTTGGTGAATGGCCTAGTAAGAAGCTGCCATTTCGAATCATGAGGGTAACAAGTATAGATGAACTCTTCTGCATCCGTCAGGAAGTAATAATCGTTTATATGGCGGATTGTTTGACCTGATGATCTTTCTTCTTTTTCTCTTGTACCTTTTCCTATATTATTCAATCAATAGAATGTTTGTTTTTAAAATGTGACAGAGAACTTTTTTTTCAATTTTATACAAAATATTAAGTTTAGTACCACATAATTACGTGTCATTTGTGAACCATTAAGTATTATACCTTTGTCTTCTATTAGCGTCCATGTACCCTTGGAGTGACCAACCACTGCTGAAAAAGCCCAAAGCGGAAACACAAAACGCCACCCTCCGGCTACATACACTGCTGTCCATGAGTTCCTCAGATTGTCGACATCTCTGTCACCCACCTCGTAAGCCACACTTTTCCCAAGTCCACGTATAAGTACAGACGGGATTTTTACAGCCCTTGAAGATGAAAGGCAATAAAGTCAAATTCACAGTCATATATTTATATCTTGCATACTGTAAACGTCTTTAATATTTCACGATATTCTTTGTTGATAGATTTCGGATTGGTTTTAATTTCACAGTTACCGAATTTGGCATAGCTAAATATTTGTTTTATTTTTATTGCTCTTTTAAATACCCAGAGGTTGTTATGGTAATTTAGGCATGACAAAGGTTCCCATTAACAATTGTTTTTAACCTAAGGTTACCTAATTTGAATGTCTTACTTCTTTCCTTTACTTTGAATGAAGTACTACTTTACTATTACTGAATAGGAGAACAGGGTTTTAAAATGTTCATCTACACGTACATGTACTTTATAACTGAAAACTGCTGTGATATATCGACAATATTCACAATATTCTTTGATCACAAGCAGAGTGAAATTAAAACCACCGAAATGAAATAAACGTTTACAGAAACATATGGAGATAACGAACAGTATTTACACTTAATTCTTCTGTTCCTGTGCTTTTCTTACCTGCAAAGGCTTATGAATAAGTAATTGTATGAGCGTTTTCTTTGCGTAACTTGTTGTACAATGGTTTTTGGCAAAGTGACATTTTGGTTTTTATTGTCTCCCTTTTTAGATTTGTTTTTCTTTGACCCCTGTAATCCAATCCAAGTAAAAATTGTGCGCACTTTTTGGACGTCATTTATTAATCCGTCTGTCAGAGCATGCGCCAAGTCATCCAGGGTTTGATAGTCTTCAACTTTAATCTAAAAACAATTACAGTGAATTTCACAACCATATTAATAACAATACCCCACTCGTCTCTGATTCCAATCGACATTGGACTATTTCTGCAGATATGTTAAATCAAGGGGAGCACGGAAGTTAAAAACTATTGGCTGAATGTACTTATTTGGGGTGCTAATTACGTATAATTCATGTCTCTAAAATATTAAGAAATTGTAGACTTTTTCTGCTATTCAATTTATATTTTTTACTTTTATTTCCATGTATAAATCTATCCAATTTTTGTAACTTTGTAACTTTTTTGAATTTTGAATTAAAATTAAAACTTACTTATCCCATTTATATAAACATAAATTTAACTGTAATTATTTTTTAAAGCTTGCTCGTATAATATGTCCTTAAATCTTTAATAGGACACCTACGGGTAGTTTTATCATTTAACCATTACATGGTGATATATGAATTTAAATTTGATTTAATATTTTTATATAGTTATAAATTTATATATTGTATATGTATATATATGCCTTCAAATTTTAGTTCAGTTCCTTGTTTCTTAATAAGTTATGTAGAACAATATTACTTGTCTGGCTTTATCATCCGCCGTAGTTTTATCCTGTTCTGTAAAAATTTGCTTCTTTCCTTTTAAGCTCGGCTTTGGAGGTGGGTACCCCACAATGAATTCTTCTAAATCTACCTATTAGATGAAGAAAAAATTAGGGTGAGGCAAGGCTGGTATAAAAGACGTATCAAAATACATTTCTTTTAGTGCATTAATCTCTGATTAAAATAAATCTTTGATTTTTGATTTTGAATCTTTGATTTAAGTCTTGATATATTTATATATTAATACACCACATCACACCCCATATTTCTTAAGTATTTAAAAAATAGTTTAAGTACGTGCAAGTGCAAGGATATATGACATCAAACACGCCTCAAATTTCACTTAAAAGAAGTTTTCAACAAAGTTTTATTATTTATCCCGATTTTTAATTCTCGAATCATATCGTCGCCCGCGTTGCACAGTAGTCAGAGCGTCTGCTCTAGAGTCGCGAAGTAAGGAGTTGATCCTTACGTCGTGGGTTCGAATCCCACTGTGGGACCTGGAGACCGGTCCTTCGGATGAGACCGTAGAAAGCGAGGTCCCGTATGTAGGTGTTGGCACGAAAAGACCCCTACCTGCTCTATGGCCGTAATAAATGCCGAGCATAGGTCTAATTATGCAGCCCTCCATCGGTTAGTGGTGGCGTCTCATTATGAATGAAAAATCTCGAGAAGGACGTTAAACAATTGTTACGAATTTGGCATTCTCCACTATTGTTTTGAATAAGTAAACAAGATGTTTCTTGTGATATGAGCCGTTAAAATGATGATTAGATGAATGATTGAATGAATGATATGTATTGACATTTATTCTTATTTATCTGTTATTATTGATTAATGTTATTTGGAATTTATTACGATCTGGGTGCAAATTGTTCACCATGTACCGAATTTCCTCCACGTTTTGAGGAATACGGAATGTAAATAAACCATTTACTGGTCTACAAATGCTTTTATATAGTACTAAATGTGCTAACCTTTGATAATTTGTATAAATAATAAATCCATTCACTGATAATTAGTGTAAAACCTTACAATTACACTCTGCTTTTCATACTAAGCGGTAAAAGATGTAAACTACATTCGGAACACCTCTGATGAGTATAATAGTTAAGTGCATCCGAAGTTTTCCAGCTATTTGACGTTATGGCGCCAAAATCTCATGCATTGATCGAGTGAATGACGTCATAACG